AACCTAATCTAACCCAACCCAAACTAACCTAAAACAACCTAATCGTACACAACCAAACTTATAGTGAAATTTCACTTTCTGGCTATTTTGAAAATTTCCACAATGCGTTGTGGTCGTTTTTCACTCAGTAAACGAATTCATTCTTTGAGCCTAAGATATATATATATATATATATATATATATATATATATATATATATATATATATATATATATATATATATATATATATATATATATATATATATATATATAGGCTATATATAAAACAAAGAAGACGGAGTAGCAATCTATGTCAGGGATAATCTGAAGTGTGAAATAGATAAGGAAATAAATACTGAGTGGAATCCAGAAACAATTTGGATAAAATTAATCGATGGTATGGAAAAATTAATCACAGGAGTAATATATAGACCTCCCAATCTTGATAGAGTTAATGAGCGACTTATTTGGGATGAAATGTGCAGGGCTTCCATACATAGCAAAGTCTGTGTGGTAGGGGACATTAACTTAAGCCAAATAGATTGGCTTGACCATATGCGTAACTCAGAATCAGAGGATTTTCTTAAAACAATCCAGGACTGTTTCCTAAGCCAACATATAACCGAACCCACCCGAGGTAATAATATACTCGATTTAGTTCTGTCAAACAATGAAAACCTAATTAGTAATGTCGAGGTAGGGAACGAACTTCCTAACAGCGATCACAAAGAAATAAAATTCCAATTAGAATTTCAGGGCAGCTGCAAGGAAAATTCCACTAAAGTCCCAGATTTCAGAAGGGCAAACTCTGATAGTTTGAAAAGGCAGCTGAGAGAAGGGGCTTTACGCTTGAGGGTGAATTACATGACCTCACATGAGGAAATGTACCCACAGAGGGCGACCTCACCTTACCGGGAGACCTGATAACGAGATCTGAGGTTGACGAGTTTCACAACAATTTAAATAATGAGTTACTTAATGCACAAAGGCAGAACATGCCATACAGAAAACTCAGATCAAACAACAATGACCCTAAATGGATAAATAATTATTTGAAGAATATATTGAACAAAGGAAGGCTATAGGTAAGAGATTAAATTGTAGTGAAATTTACCTCCGAGATTATAATAAGGTATTGGCCGGTTGGGTTAAGACCGAGATAAGAAAAGCAAAGAGGAATAATGAACTGAAGGTAGCAAGGGAGGCGAAGTCAAACCCCAAGGGATTCTAACAAATGTGTCAAACTAAAACACGAGAAAAGATTGGACCAATACAGTCAGACACCGGCGAGCTAACTGATAACAACGGAGAAATAGTAATAATCTGAATAAATATTTTTCAACAGTTTTCACCACCGAAAATTTAAACATGATACCCGAGGCACCGACTCTTTACAGAGATAGTGAAGAAAATAAATTAAGCGAGATAGTAGTGGCTAGTAACGATGTTAGTAAGCAAATAGACAAACTAGAGCCTAATAAGTCACCAGGTCCCGATGAGATATTTGCCAGAGTATTAAAGGAATGTAAGGAAGAGCTTATTATGCCCTTAGCGAAGTTGTTTAGCATGTCTTTAAAAACGGGTGTAATACCAGAATCCTGGAAGACAGCGAATGTATAACCGATTTTCAAGAAGGGAGATAGATCACTCTAACTACCGCCCAATCAGTCTAACATCAATTGTAGGCAAATTACTGGAAGCAATTATTTCAAACTCTATTCGAAATCACCTGGAGAAGCACAAGTTGATCAATGATTCCCAACATGGCATCACAAGCGGGCGTTTATGTCTAACGAATCTATTAACATTCTTTTCATCTGTTTTCGAAACAGTGGACGAGGGGCACAATTATGATGTGGTATATCTCGACTTTAGCAAAGCTTTTGACAGAGTCCCCCACGAAAGACTAATAAGAAAAGTGGAGGATCATGGCATTAAAGGAGATATTCTAAAATGGATTAGGGAGTGGTGACAGGACAGGAAACAGCAAGTGAGCATTAACGGCACTAAATCCGATTGGAGCAACGTCACTAGTGGAGTTCCCCAAGGCTCAGTACTTAGACCATTATTATTTGTTATATACATAAACGACATAGATATCAGCGTAGACAGCAACATAAGTAAATTTGCTGATGACACTAAAATATGGCGTGTGATTAAATCTGACGAGGACTCCGCAAAACTACGGGAAGATCTAAACAAATTTTTCGAAAAATCTGAAAATTGGCAGATGAAATCCAAAGTGGACAAATGTAAAGTACTCAGTGTAGGAGATGTAAACAGTGAAACCAGATACTAGATGAACAACGATGTTATTGAGAAATCCCACTGCAAGAAAGATTTAGGAGTAATGCTAAGTAGGAATCTTAAGCCAAGTAAACAGTGTGTATTTGCTCGAAACAAGGCTAATAAAGTACTTGAGTTCATACAAAGGAGTGTTAGTTACAAGACTAGCGAGGTCATCCATCCTAAAACTATATCTTGAGCTTGTGAGACCTCACTTGGATTATGCAGTTCAATTCTGGTCACCGTATTACAGAATGGATATAGATTCATTGGAAAGAATTCAGAGGAGAATGACAAGACTAACCCCGGGCATTAGGAACCTTGAGTACAGAGACAGGTTAAAGCATCTTAATTTGCACTCCCTTGAGAGACGTAGAGTGAGGGGCGATATGATAGAGGTGTATAAATGAAAGTCAGGGCTAAACAAAGGGGACATTACAAAGGTTTTCAAACTATCCAACCAGGAGCGAACTCGTAACAATGATTTTAAATTAGACAAATTTAGATTTTGGCGTGAAATAGGTAAACATTGGTTTGGAAATAAAGTAGTGGACGAGTGGAACAAGTTACCAAACATCATCATTAACTCGAATACGCAGGATAGCTTCAAACATAGATTGGATGGATATATGAGCAATAGGGGTTGGGTGTAAATGGGACTGCCCAGTATGGGCCAATAGGCCCGCTGCAGTTTCCTCCATTCTTATGTTAATCTTATTTTCTTATATGATCAAAGATCTTTGTTGAGAATATTTCGTCCGTTGTGTCATATTGTATGACACTAAGTGTAAAGATATTTGTTTTGCTGTTTGTACAGTACATTATAGTTCTAATACAAATATCTTTCAGTAGTCTTTTACATTATATTACTCTTCCTTAGTTACCACAACCTTAAAAATGTAAAGGACCCGAGAAGAGCAAATTGAAGATTCATTAGTAGTTTATTCACGGTGTTTGGAGTCTTGGTTCAGGCAATTTAATCTTATCTTTTATTTATCTAGGATAGTTCTGCTTTTCCCAGTTATCTCAAAACTACTCATTATGTAAAACGGTACACTTGATAGGTATTCATTGTTTAACTTCATATGTATAACTGATAATTCAGCCAAATCATGTTACTCCTTCCTCGGTGCTGACTGACCCATTCTTTCCAGTAGACGTTTACAACAAAATAACTGAGAAGCATAGAACGTTTACAATATAATAACTTAGAAGCAAAGAACGTTTACAACAACATGATTACTGAAAAGCAAAGAATGTTTACAACATGATTACTGAGATGCAAAGAACGTTTATAACATGATTGCTGAGAGGCAAAGAATGTTTACAACATGATTACTGAGACGGATAGTGAATGAAATTTTAAGATAAAAGTAAAGGAAGAAACTTTATTAAGTTTCTAAACAAATATATTTCATAATTCATCTAATGGGCTATACAGTATTATCAAATAAGTTTACATTCTTTAATGTACAGTTACTTCCACATGAATGTATCACCCATAGTCTGAGCTGACTGAAAGGGCGTGAAACACCGAAGTTACCTTATTTGCGATATGATGCAAACAACAATAAAGTGGGTAAACAGATAAACGAACTCTATAGTACAATGTCATGCAACATTGTTGTGTAGGACTGAACTATGGGAAACCGGCAAGCAGGGTAATCCACGGTTTCACGTCCATGACTACCGCGCTGCCACATCTCGTAAATGTGCCCCGACACACACCTCGGCCGTAGTACGTTCATGTGGAGGCAACTATACACATAACTTCTGGTTAAATTTATCGAAGGTATTTAATTTTGAGATCAATCGTCTCAACACTACTCGTTTCCATTACCTACACAACGACTATCAGGCGACTACTAGACTCGCCTTACTTATGGTTCAACAACCAACATACAGTGAAAGTAGGCCCCAAGGCCTGCTGGCCTTTTAAGGACACTGTCTATAAAGCACAGTGTACTCTACTGTACTCTACTGTAAGCTTTTGATACAGAAAAAGGCAAGGTGGCCGGAATTGCACTAGACCGCCTTCACTTCTTCAACTGTAAATGAAATTCCCATTTACAATTGGTTGGCCATAGAAATGCCCCAGAACCGGACCAGGCAAGTCGCACCCCTGAAGTATTGTCGAATCACGACGCTAATACAGACACACTCGAATAAGTGATGTACAGTCCCCTTCACAAGTGCGTTTACAGGGGCTCGTCATATAAACATTTCACAAATCATTAAATTTGAGATATTTGTTTTAATGTTACTTTACTTTGATTCCATAGTATGTTTACTACTGCGAGTTTCCTTCTGTCTAATGTAAACAAATATAGGGCTGCCACACTGAACAAAACCTGAAGAGCCCCTGTAAACGCACTAGTGAAGGGGACTGTACCTGTACCAACAGAGACGTAGCCTTGCACCAGAGCACGGAAATAACCTTGTCTGGGAATACAAATTACTTTAGTAAAAAACTTTCACTGTGCACACGCACACACACGCACACACACACACACACACACACACACACACACACACACACACACACACACACACACACACACACACACACACAGCGAGGATAACACGTTAAGTATTGTAACATAAAGAATACCTATGACCGTCAAGTGAGTAGTAGTTTCATTATTAATGTTTAATTTTTTCATCATATATTTCAGTGTTTAGGAACAAATAAAAAAATATAAACAATATTAATTATTTTCTTTAAATTTACAGGTGTGAAGGGGTGTTGTATCTACTGTAGATGATACTCGTCCGGTGAGTAAGTAGCTGCTTCAGTATTTTTTCATTATTATCAAATTTGTCTAAATTACTGAGAGAACTACAGAGTTTAATAGACATCTGCAGCCTCCCATCTTCACGGTGACGTATGTATAACATTACATTATATCATTGGTGCTGTAAGTTCATGTGAACGTGACGATGTACTGTACGTAACAGTGGACGATGCAGAGAGAGTGGCTGTAATTTTCTTGAGGAGAGGGGTTGAGGAGGGGAGAAATCTGTGACTAACGGGTACGGGAAAGTGTTTTTTATTTGGGGTTGAGGGGAATGGGAGGAGGGAAGGGGACAAGAACTTAAAATGCAAGTTTAGTAGTCTATATTTACTGTAGGTATTACCTGAAATCTTATAACCGCAGTAACACACACATTGACCACATACTAGTGTAAGTTATTCAGGCCGGACTGTGGTTACTTATCTAGGAACCGGATCTTGGCAGCAGATACAAAGGAAGATTTATATAGACGTTACGTAAGTGACTGGTGACGGTGGTGTGAAGGCTGGTGACGGTGGTGTGGTGGCTGGTGACGGTTGTGTGGTGACTATTGACGGTGTGGTGGCTGGTGACGGTGGTGTGATGGCTGGTGACGGTGGTGTGGTGGCTGGTGACGGTGGTGTACTGGCTGGTGACGGTGATGTGATGGCTGGTGACGGTGGTGTGGTGGCTGGTGACGGTGGTATGGTTGCTGGTGACGGTGATGTGATGGCTGGTGACGGTGGTGTGGTGGTTGGTGACGGTGGTGTGGTGGCTGGTGACGGTTGTGTGGTGACTATTGACGGTGTGGTGGCTGGTGACGGTGGTGTGATGGCTGGTGACGGTGGTGTGGTGGCTGGTGACGGTTGTGTGGTGACTATTGACGGTGTGGTGGCTGGTGACGGTGGTGTGATGGCTGGTGACGGTGGGTGGTGGCTGGTGACGGTGGTGTACTGGCTGGTGACGGTGATGTGATGGCTGGTGACGGTGGTGTGGTGGCTGGTGACGGTGGTATGGTTGCTGGTGACGGTGATGTGATGGCTGGTGACGGTGGTGTGGTGGTTGGTGACGGTGGTGGGCTGGTGACTGTGGTGACGGTGGTGTGATGGCTGGTGACGGTGGTGTGATGGCTGGTGACGGTGGTGTGGTGGCTGGTGACGGTGGTGTGATGGCTGGTGACGGCTGGTGACGGTGATGTCACTTGTTGTGAGGAAGCAGGTGATGGTGAACGAAGCCAATTGTTGTGTTCATCAAGCACTTAAGGCGGCGTCACACTCGCACTTTTTGCGTTATATTCTTGCATCACTTAAGGATTGTAATTTTCTGAGCGTGTCCTGTCACACAAGCATGTAGAATCAGCGCGTTTCGTTCCGCGTTCGTCAATTGTAAACCCAGGCTCTCCTAATGTAAACAAGCATAGCAGATGTATTTAGGAATATCAATATAAAAAAATTACACTTGAGGAAGTTGCTACTGACTTTTAAAATTAAATGTTAATTTACCTGGTTCGATATTTTATTCTATATAACTTTTCCCATTATTGAGTACAGTATCGATCTTGTCTACGGAAATTGGCGCGAGTTATTCAAGCGAAAACATTACGTTTTGTCTAAGCAATACGCACTAGGTAAGACAACAACTTGAGGGGAAAAATATAAAATGGGATTGTTGATTCCAAAAATGCTAGTGTGACACCGTCTTTCCTTGTCACCTTTTACTACGATGGGTAACAGGGTAATAATGTAGGTCAGTCAATCCGTGACTAAAATGGGCGAAACATGGAAATAATTACAACAGAATTTTTTACAGATTTTAAGAGAGGGGATATTTCAGAATAACGTATACAAATTTAAGGAAATTTGAAGTATGGGAACACTGTCAGCTGGTGCCAAAGACATTCAAGTTGGGAACTTCCCTTCAGAGCATCAAAACCTACCACAATCTGAAGCCATGCAGTTGGAGTTGTCGGAAGAGGCCAACTGTGGTTCTCCAATTGTGCCTTCAAATTTGGATGAAGATTTAAATCCAGTTGTATGACAGACTTATGGTTAGTGATCTGGCTGCAGATGAAGTGTGCCTGGAAAGATCCCTTGACAGACTTCAAGAAAGGCTAGAGTTGAATTGTAACAGTTGAATTGAATTGTAACAGTTTATTTAGCCAGAAAAATACAGATACAGAGTGGATAATATTAACAATATTAACATGGCTGAGCCAGTTGAAAACCTGGCTAGGTTACAATACTCTATAACCATACTACAGTGTATGGGGATGATTGCAATCCTTCGTCAGTTCATTATAACAGAGAAAATTGGGAATTGGGCTTTCCACCTAAAGTCCCTTCAAATTATGGTTTCATATATTGCAGCAGCAGGACATAATTTGTATGCTAAATCAGCATACATTAATGTACAGCAGATGTCTGAACTTGTTAAAAAACATCCAGATATCTTCAGCTCCTTCATGTCTGGGTACCATCCCATTCGTAGAAGTAATCGCTACTGAGCTGGGCTATCATCAGACTTGGCGATTGAAGAGACACTCAACAAAACCATGATGACAACAGGTGGATTGACCCGAGGTCGTGGGATTATAGAATTCCAGCGAACACAATGGCTGCTCTCCCTGCCAGCGTGCCGTGATGTCAGTGGTGTCATGCAGATGCTCACAGGTACAGATTACGGGACCAGCGAGCAGCACAAAGATATAGATATCACACTAGCCAGACAGACAAGAGATGATAAGGATACGAGGAGCTTATCAACTTATCTTCAAAGTAGAAATCCCTTCAGTCGGGATTCATCTCTACGAAACATTGCCACAGGTGTTACCACTGATGAAACTGTGAATGCTGACAGAGGGAAAGAGGTGAAATGCCAGATCTTTAAATCAATGATGGAAAAGAACGCGATTGCACATACATTCAAGAAAAAATAATAGGATCGTTATAATGGACAGCAAATTCTCTGCATAGGTTGATGAAGAATCCACCCAAGAGGACTCACAGTTGCTCTTCCAGCGTCTACTAACAGCCACAGGTGAAATCAATTAATCCACTGCAGATATCTTCAGGTTTGAACTCAGCAACAACTCATCTGCCTTGTTTGAGCCATCAGGCCTACCTCGTTTGGCAAACAAAATTTGGACTACAGCAAAAGGGACCGATATACCAGTTCAATCTTTTGAGTCACCATGGACCAGAGGTTCGACATTTGAATCCATCTGTACCAGGTATGTATAGATTATTACAGAATGTTCAGACAGCCGACCATTTTTTTGATGGATACGAGTCATGTCCATTCATCAAAGATGTGATACACCTAAGGAGAACTGAAGGAGGAGGTGTTCAAGTGACTTTTGATGCAAACTTGTTCCTCACATCCAAGAAAGGGCACTTTTTGGCAAACCACCTCAACAAACAAAAGTTTGTGACTATGGTGAATGGGCGACTTCTACAAGATGATTGCAAGACATTACATGCAGATGGTGGTGCAGACGTTCTTATTGGTACGACAGCAGTGAGGTGTGCTGCTGAGTCTGCCACAACTGTTATGGGGAAGACACTGATCCCCTAGTGCGGCTATGTTTGCATGCTAGCCAAGCTTCTTTCCCTGTTCCTTCGGTCTGACAAGAAGCTTAATATTTGGAAAATCCAATGGATACAAAGAGCCTTGGGGCCCAGATATTTACCCTCTGGTATCTTTTGTTCATGCCATTGCTGGATGTGACACAACATCATGCTTGTTTGGCATTGGTAAGGGAATTCCTTTGAAAAAAAAAACCCTGAAGACTGACATATTTCAAAAAGCAGGTTCATCATGCTGGTGAAGAGGCTCTTGGTTGCCTCTGTGGTGGCCATCCAGGTGAGGGTATGGATAAACTGCGTTATAGACGTTTCTGCAAGAAAGTTTCCACAAGCACTTCTCTCATGCAAGTCCACACACTATCTCCAACTTCAGCAGCAGCACGCTATCACAGTGCCCTCCCGTGTTTATTCCAAGCTCAGCTGTGGATAGACGAGGAAAAGACTTTGAACCTTGAAATATGGGGTTGGATTAAAGTTCATGGTGGCTTTGAGCTGCAAACATCTGATTTACCTGCAGCTCTAGAAGCTCTACTGAGAGTGGTCAGGTGCAACTGCAAGACTGGCTGTAACACACAGAGGTGAACCTGCAAGAAACATGTGGCGAGTGCAGAGGCGTGAGCTGCACAAATTCACCTTTGTTTTCCAAGGACAACATTGATGATGAACTGTGACAGTGTGTAATCACATCAGCAAAAAACACAAAAAAACAATAACAGCTATATTTAGGAGTTGTGAACTTAGGATAAGTTGTTTTAAGTTTCTTAGTGATCACATTTAACAGTGTGCCACACTGTGCCATGCACCTGAATAGTTACCGAACTGCTGACATTGTAATTTGGTTACTTTTTTGGTCAGTATCGTTGGCATGCATCCAGCGAAAACTTTACCAGTGTTGTGCGCATTGCTTTCTAAAGGTAACGGCATTACCGTTACCGTTAATCGGTAGAAAATGTAACGCCGTTACCATTGCCGTTACATTAAAAAAAAAGTCTCTTGAGTTATTGTTAATTTTTATGTGCACGATATTGGTCGTATAACTCTTAATATAATTAAACTTTGGATAAAATTCGTAAGAGTCCAGTACTAGTAATTGGACAAGCATTTTTTTTTAATTGCAATGTGTTTTTAATAGTGTTGTAATAAGAAAACCAACATGAAATATGAAATAAGGAGTCTGTATTTTTTTTTTTTGCACAGGCTAATTTCTACCTTTGAGCTGCTTAGCTCCATGAATTTATGTAATGTTCCATTATTTTATGCTAAATAATGGCGTAAGGTAGTTGAGAAAAAGCTCATAAAAATCATAAATTATATGACAATGATGTGCTGAAAGAGAGCACACCAGACTGTATGCATAGCGTTAACCGCCCCCCCCTCCCCCGCCCCACGTCCACCCACAGGACCCACATATGTGTGA